GCTGCAGCCGGCGGGAGGGTAGTTCGACCGCAAACCGGACTCATAGCCTGACAGAGGTCAAAGGATCTACCGTAAACAAAGCCCTGGTGATATTCGAACACACAAACACCCTGCAACAGACCTATGATGTAACAAACATTGGCTTAAATTTAGTAGTCTTAAAATTTGGCGGTTTTTTTCACAAATGCGCTCATATGATTCATGAAAAGGACCCAGATAGGGACTATAGCGCCAAAGCTTACGACTAGTATCGACGTGTATTTTCCGACAAAACGGTTATGCCAGCCCTTTTGAGGTTTCAACCACACAGGTTGGCCACAGAGACGCGCGAATTACCATTTAAACATCCCCAAACAGCGGTTTCAAAGAGAGATTGCTTTGTGGCAGACCTGACCCAGGTTGGTTGGCTAAATCCTAAATCGTGGTGTCCTGATTGGTCGTGAAAACCCTTCTAGTTGGCGTGGGTATTCAAGAAGAGGAGTCACCACTATGCACAGGCCGAGGGACCGAGTTCCAGGTGTTCCACACTTCGGGATTGGGTGTGACTGGCTGACGACGGCTAATGAGCCAGGAATGGCCATTTCAGTCTCCCTTGTCTTTCTTGGTGATGTCACTCATGCATTTATTTTGTGCGGAGTTGTCTGCTTACAAAGACCTGCAAAGACCTGACTAAAAATTGTTTCTGCCTCTGGTTTACAACTCGAAAAAGGTTGGATTGTAGACTTAAAAAGCACAGAAATTAAAAAATCTCGAGGACGATTATTGGTTTACCGTTCCTCGGGGTTATTTTTTATCTCGCTACACTTACCTACTGAAAGTGTACTTTGTCGTGAATTACACAAAGGGTTGGTGGCATGCACCGTAGGCGGCTAAAGGCTGAAACCGGTTTGAGCGAGCACTTCGAATGCCCCTGAGCCCACTCACTATTTTGAAGCAAAATTATTGATTCTCCACGTGGATACTTTTTGAGGATGATCGTTTTCTGTGACATGCCTAAGTGAAAGGGACGTTTTGGCAAACGCTTTAGCGAACAAAAATTTTGCAATTAGTATTCCAGGAGTTCGAGCAGTTTGAAAATTTTGCTGGTTAGATTGAGAATTAGTGCAAGGATAAGTTCACGAAGGCTGTCCTCCGAATCACCCTGATTTGCGGGAATTTAAGAATAGGAACGAATATTCAAACATTTTGTGGTTTTCTTTTGTCGGTATACGGTATAGAAGTATCCAAATCAGACGCCAGCGTGTCATAGCATATGAATGAACTTGAGACAATACTCCTTTTTGTCAGAGTTCACCGGCAACCTTGTGTCCTTGAAGGTATTTTCGTAAAAATTCACGCTATTTGCAGCAAAGGGGAAGAATTCTGGTTAAACAAACGCTACATTCAGTCGAAGATTCGACATTTTGTTATAATAGTGTCAGCAATCAGACTATTATTTTCGAAATGCTGCTATCCAGAGTTGTCAAGAAATTATTCACAGTGCGGAACTCTGCCATCGGCTGTGTGTACTGGCGATCTGATTACACCGGCCATGCCTAACAACGATGACTTCTTGGCGGGAAAAAATCATCCCACTTCCCCTTGGGGACTAAGTAATGCAGACTTCATCCAAAAATTGATATTTGATATGTAAGCTGGCATGAAATCTCCGGGGACGCACACTCCCCCATAGAAAGTCTTGAATGCTGCAATGTTGCCTCCTTTTCTTCAGGCTGCGTGGCGACAGGGGATAAATGCATGTGGACCTTCTGGACCCAGTGCTGTGGGTCCTCAATCTGCGATCTCTACGGACCCTTTGAGGGTACCTGCGTCTCCTGTCTCGATGAGGGAAGGCCCTGTTTTTCAAGCAGCAGTTGTTGCACGAAGAACTGTTACTTCTTCAAGTGCCGAAAGTCGGAATAGCGTTTTTCACATGGGACGCAGACTTAGAAGGAGACGGAGGCATGTAGGAGAGTTTACTTTCAAAGTTTAAATAAAAATTTGCTTGTTCGTCTTTCTTCTTGAGAAGTCGTCTAGGAAGTCCACTGGCGTTTTTCTGAACACTACTGTCAGAGAGTCACGCACAGTTCGCTTAATCATGAGGATTTCGTTGCAGGAACTTGGCACTGCTCCTCAGGGTTAAGTTACCTTTGAATACTTCAGTGGACCCCTGGTGATCGCTTCGGTGTCTAGGCGGACGTATACTTAATCGTCTGTTTGTCATGAAATTATTTAAAGTTAATGAGCTAATTACCCTAGTGAGATGTGGAGAAAGAGTTGGAAATTGATGCCACACAAGCCGTCACTTTCCTAAAGCGTACTTTTCGACAACAAGTTCATTGAAGGAACTACCTGCTATGGCTCTGGAGGTTGTAGCGTGGTTATTAGATAGAAGCCGTGTAAGGCGTATCCTTTCCAGTTAGGCAAATGCCCCTTTCACTGAATGAAACCCGCACGCTTGATTTGATCGGTCTTTTAAACTGTGTTTACATTCGTCAGCGTTCAAGTTCGTGTAAAGCCAACTTAAACTCAAGGGTTTCAGCAAGTTGATGAGCAGAAGATAGTTTCTTTTACTGCAGAACTGCTTTCGAAATTCAAATTGCTGCTTACAAGAGACTGCCATACAAGTTGACCTGTTTTCAAGGTTAACGACTGCTGCTGATGAGTCGGTTAGCTCACAGGCGCGATGAAATGGACACAAAGCAATCATTTTGATGAGTGAAGGGTTGTCTCAAGCAGTTGTTATTTCAGTGAATTTTTGAAGGTAAGGGAGAAGGCCTTCAGTAGCCTGCTTTTGAGCGATAATGTCGTCAGCCTGAAATCATTACTTTCGTTTGGTAAGTATTAGTGTTTTAAAATTTAGCTTCAAAGCTTTATAAAAAGTTAATAAATGAAAATGGACGTGATGGGCTACGCAAGGTCGCCTTATTAGTGAGCACAATATTTCGAGCAGACATCCGTCAATCTAGTGTTTATAAGGTTTAATATGACCACTATCTTCAAGATTTCCGTTTAGTTCAGTTTAGTTCAGTTTATTGGGGGAAATGTAGGTCATCACCTTTGAACTCCCTATTTGTGTACATGCAACTGCAAAATCTCAAAAATTCGAAAAGGTATCATAAAGGGAACAATTAATCGGAAAAGCGTCAGATCTGTACAGACAAACAAATTGTCTCGAATGTTAGTGGTACGAGCAGTTGTAGAGCGGTCGTTTCGAGTGCAGCGAAATAAATGATATATCCGGTGACAAAAGTTGCAGAGGTGCATGTCAGTAAGCGTATGCGATGGGTTGGGGACAATAAGAAATTCAATTTAAAAGGTTACTGAAATATAGCAAGTAGTATTATAACACGGAATTTGTCATGGTTACAGAGATCGCGTGGTAATTTAGTGGACACTGCTGAACAAATCCAGTTTCCTCTTAAAGACCACGACGGAATCAGACATAACTACATTCACAGGCAGGGCATTCCAGGCTTCTAGCACTCTGTTAGAGAAGAAGAAATTTCGGGTGTCCAGTCTGGCCCCTGTCACACATAGTTTGAATGGATGGCCTCGTAGATTTGTGGTGGTTGCTAACTCGAAGAAGTCCCTTGGTACGAGACTGCAGTCCTGACCGCGTATGATACGGAAGTCTTGTATCAGGTCACCCCGTAACTGCCTGTAACCCAAGGGGAAGAGATCAAGGTTAGCTAACCGCGTTGCATATGGTAGTGAACCCTGTACTGCCACGCCTTTGAACCCTTTCAAGGATGCTGAGGTCCTTCGCGGTCCAGGGTCTCCAAGCTTGGATAGCAAATTCTAGTTGCGGGCGCACAAACGTTCGAAAGACTTTAGCGAAGCCGTCTTCATCAAAGGCGGAGAAAGCCCGCTTGACAAGGTAGAGGACTGACATTGCAGATTTGGCTATTTTCGTGCAGTGGAGCGAGGGTTTGAGCGACGTCGTAATCCATACTCCCAGGTCCTTCTGCGAGTCCACTTCTTGCAGTGGTATGCCATTTAGGCAGTAGGTCATATGGTTCGGAGAGCGAGCTCTGCCGACTCGTAGAATATTGCATTTTCTCTCATTGAACGGCAGAAGCCAGTCCTTTGACCACTGTTGGAGTCGGTTTAGGTTCGCCTGCAAATGCTCTTCGTCATCTGCAGAATTAGCTTATATTTTCGGAACAGCGACAAAAAGGACCACATCAGCAGCAGACACAGCAACAGTGCCAACAACGAAGCAACAAACAACGACGATTCGACCGTCGTCTCCGACGTTGTTCGCAAGTCGCCGCACAATAGGACGGGTTCAGGGCGATGGATCACGCATGAATGTGTGGACGGCAGGCTTGCGCTGCGCCCACCACACTCTGTCCTTCTCACCCATCTAGGCTAAGTGTGAAGAAGACAGGAGGTGGAATCAGACGCAGGTGGCTGGAACGACGTGAGCCCTCGCTCAGGCATGCCACCACAGCCCCCCCTGCATGGCATTTGTTATGAGTTGCCAATAGAAACGAAGAGACGAGTCCCAGGAAGCAGTCTTGAAGAAGGAGACACGATCGCTGGGACAGGAGCTTTATTAGCCTGACGTTTCAGATTTCTGCTCGAACCCGTCATCAGAAACAAAACCAGATACGGGTGGTTCATGCATAAGGGGCTGCAGTATTTATAGGATGCAGTCGCCATGCTACCGCATACTTATGAACATTCACGGCTCCCCATTCCCCTCATCAGGGATCGTTGAAATTGGTGTGACGGCCAATATTTCGCGTCGTTGATTGCTGCAATTTCATCTCCTGCGTTGGACGTTGGTGTGATGATTGCTCGACCATCTAATCCACCATCCCTGGAGTTGGAAAAAGTGTTCACCTGTGCGCTCCCTGCGTGGCTAATTACTCCACCTAGACTAACTCTCAGCACTGAGTATGGAAGGGAAGGTTCATTGCGCTTGTTAATGGATTGGGGGCCAGGAAACCATGACTCAAACAGCTCCCGGCTCATGCGGGTCTTTCAGTTTCATTATCTGACGCCTGACCCGCATGTCTCCTCCGTCAATTTGTTATGAGTACGCAGTCCAACAACGCGTGCCGTACCCTGATCTGACACCTACGTCAGTCCGGTTTAGCTCCCGCGCGTCCCGTCGCACGGATCACTACTACTACTACTACTACTACTACTACTACTACTACTACTACTACTACTACTACTACTACTACTACTACTACTACTACTACTACTACTACTACTACTACTACTACTACTACTACTACTACTACTACTACTACTACTACTAATACTACTACTACTACTACTACTACTACTACTACTACTACTACTACTACTACTACTACTACCACCGCCACCACCACCAACAAAAACAACAAAACCGCCATGATGATGATGATGATGATGATGATCATCATCATCATCCTCATCATCATCATCATCATCCTCCTCCTCCTCTCATCATCATCATCATCATCATCATCATCATCATCATCCTCCTCATCATCATCATCATCATCATCATCATCATCGTTTTCACTGTCGTCACGGTCATTATCTTGATTGAAAGCACTAGAACAGCAAGACGGCCATAGTAAAAAAACTAGAAATCAAGGTTTGCCTTCCTAATCCAACCAGGTGCGCCTCAAGCTGCCATCGTGCTTCAGTCGCAAGAGCGCCAGGTCTGCTCTTGGCTCGAAAAGGCGCAACGCACGCGTGAGTATACTCCAATTCCACTCAGTTCACGATATGTTTTTAGTCTTGCCTCACAAAGGACCCTCATTGTTGCGTTCAATTTGAAGAGCTGGACGTTAGAAATTACGACCTAGTTTGTCCGTAGAAAACTGCCTGCTTATATCACCTCTCCTCCGTCCAGTCCTTCTGTCTAAGAATTGGAAACTTTTGCTCTCTTGGATCTCGTTAAAGCAGCCTAACTCGACTGAATAAACAGAATAACAGTCAAAACGATTAATAGTCACAGAATATGAAAAATACTTCGTTGAATAGCCCTCATATTAAAGTATGAATATGCCAAAAATATCAATCAGTAAGAAAGAGATGGCGATATCCCGGCGTGACCCGGGGAGAGGTGATTGGGGGGGGGGAGAATGGGATGGAAAGAAAGAAGGAATAGGAAGTAAAGTAAAGGAAAGTGGCATGTGATGAAGGTAAGCACATCCAGTTTATCACAGCATCTCAGTTGTGCCTAAGACTCAGTCAATCAGTATCAGTCAGGATGTTTGGAGTAAATGACAGAAGCCATTCAAACTCCTTTTAAACGATGGAGGTATGCATGAAAAATAATTGAGCTGCAAAAAATCTTACATGTAGTTTTGGTGTTCGGAGTGCATAGGATTAGTGGCGAAACAAAAATGTTAAAAAGTGCACCACATACGAAATAACAGCGAATAACACGTTCACTACATACGAACCGCGAAACCTTTATCCTGATTAAAAATAACGTACACAAAACAATCTGTTGAATTTGTGTTAGTAGTATGTTTATAACCCTGTCAGTCATACGTTAGATAAAGCTTAGGTAGTTCGGGTTGCCCTTTCACAGGTGATTATCCAGATGTAATTTAAACATATACACGGTAGGGGAATACACAACATGCGTCGGCAAAGAATTCCCTTGACGAATGAATCTGCGAGAAAAAGGAGAAACGTTGATTGGTGTGACATAGTTCCTTTTCATCTGGCAGTAGTGACGTCTGAAATAGGTCTTAGGTACAATTTCGATAAGAATTTTTTATTCTGTGTGTATTGCATATTGGTATGCTTAGCGGTGGACTCTTCTTTGGAGATCGCTTACTCATTTTAAGTGGTCTAGTTGTCTGACAAAACTTTGGGCTAGAATAAAATTAGCGAACATGCTGTGTTTCGAACATGCGGTGTTCGACAACTGCAGATTTTTGAATATTTGGTCTGAGGACAAATGCGCACTCGATTGTCTACAATGCCCAAAGCAAGAATAGAAAAAAACTTTCAAGGAGTTTCTTCTAAGGTCTCTTATTTCTGATTGATAAATGAGAACAAATAAGTTTTCGACTAGATCTTTGCATGCCCTTTACATTTCATTCGCCAGTTTGGACTGAGGCCTTTTCTCCCTAAAGCATATCAGCCTTTACTTCTGTATTTCTTGTTTCATTGCGCAAAGAGACTGAGTAATGGGACTGCCATGATGATTGCGCGCAAATGCCTCCATCTGCAAGTAGTACCTGTCCTTCTAGAAGCCTCATTCAATGTGGAGGCGGCGGCATTAGTCGCAGTGATCACTACTCAGTCGCAATCGGTGAGCATCACTACTATCTGAATAATGATGACGCATGGGAAATAGTTTTGGGTGAGTAAGGCTGTGCTCCTTCCTCGCTTTCCCTATCTTTTCATTCCCACGGCTTCCCACGATCCAAACAAAGTCAAGATCTGCCTAGGTTACGCGATATAACACACTTTACAGCACAGGTACTAGCTAAAAGCCCAGAGACGGGATTCGCTGTCATTCTGCGTAAATAAGTTCTAAATAGACTGATTTTCCCCCCTTAACGATTAATTTCTGAGCAAATCAAAGTCACGCAATAACAAAACTGGAGTATCCACCAGAAAGCTCACAGAGGACGCTGAGGGACAACTGACAAGCCGAATCCCTCGCAGATGTGTCATGCAGCGGCAGAATGTCGGCGAAACATGTGTTTGGGCGACTATCCAGGCAAAGGCAAGATAACTGAATGTGATATAGGCGGAGAGTGAGTAATCTTATATGTCATAATTACTCTAAAATTCTCAGATAGCAGGATCCACTGCAATCTAACTCCAAGTCCCACTCCTGAAATCCACATGCTTGTTTTAGCGCTTCGAGAAGATGGTGGAATAGGTTGCGTAATTTTAAAGGTGCGAATAAGGGCGGGTAAAAAGGCGTAAAACAGGTACTCCAAGCTTATTGGATAAGGAAGTAAGGATTTGGCAAGACAGGGTGCGGTGGGCGAACTTGACCCTAACGTCAACCCTATGCCTTTCCCCGACCCTTATCCTTAACCTGACCTTAACCTCAAACCTCACCTTAGCTCTGACCTTAAATGTAAACATTTCTTTACGCGTAGCCCTAAGCTTAAGGCTAGTATGGCGTGCGTACCAAAATCAAACAAGTAGACATATTTTGGCAATAAAGACGTTGACCTACATATGCAGTCATTGCCCAGTAGTCCTTATTTCAGAGGTCACTGAGTTTGACTCGAATTTATACCGGACGCAGGAGATGAATTAGGACACGTCAGTATAAGTTTGTCTTAGCATGATGCTGATCCCACTGAACAAACGAATAAAGTTCCCCGTGCGGAGCCTCGGTCACAAAATGCGGAACTATCAGTAACTGAACTAGTTCGAAACGGTCATCGGGACAGCACGCATAAGCATGGAAAGTTTTCGAAAGCATCAGCTGGTGACTCTGTAGTTAAACCCGAAGTTGGCGGTGATGATTCAGCCAGCGCGGACGGAGCCCATTTTCCAGTTTGACATTGTTTCGGCTGCGGACAAGGTGACAATTGTACTTCAAGGCAAATGCACGAAACCTGGCCGTCAACCGACCGCTCAGTCAACCGTCACATAAACGAACCTGCACTCTACCTGACTTCGCGAATCTTGCTGGCAAGGAGCAGTCAGGGCATTAGGCCGTCGGGATGGACTTTTATCGTCACGGTTAACGAGAACGGTTACGACACAAAGTACAGCTCCACACCCAGCAGCTGTCGGCACTGGAAATTTACGCATTGGACAAGATGCACATGCAGCCTGATTTCCGAAAACTCCGTAGTCGACCTCGGCAGATAAAAGCCCATTGAGATAGAGGGGACAGGCGCCGACAAGGAAAAAAACAGTTGTTCACCGCCATACAATACAAACATTCTAGGTTTGAAAAAGATAGGAATGTACCCTGGTCTGTGGCGAGTTTTTTAGAAAAACCTTATCACCTAGTATTAGCCAGGTAAACTAGGAGGCCCTCAAACCGCCAGATGATTAACAGACGCAAGGGCGGACACGAGGTTTACGAACGACATAAACAAAGAAGCGGACGCAAACAGTTTTGTACAAAATTTTCGGCCCCAACTAGGGCCGAAACGCAGGCGTCACATCGCTATCTCAGTAACTCCTACCAGTATAAACACCTGTGAACACGGCCACACTGCATTCACTTAAACATGCACCTGCTGATACTGGTTCTCATCGTGTACCTGGCACGACCAACACAACAAGTTGCCAGTAAGTCCTATTTTTATCCGTTGAGGTTTCGAGTAATCATCTTGATGCTGATAGGTTTATTTTCAAGCCTAGTTAGCCAGGTGGAGAACGCCTATATATCGTGCTTGTAGTTCTGACCTGACAACTAATTATTAGATCTAAAATATTTGAATGACGCCCAGGCACTTCTAAGAGCAATTCAGAGTGTTCCACCCTTTGTGTAGGAGTATTGTTTGATCAACAACCATCAAAAGACGAAAACTTATTATTCAAATAGAGGCGATGAACTGTCTGTATGGCACATATGTCGCCTGATTCAAGAAGTAAATTGTGAAAAGATAAGGGTATGGTTTATGGCCGGGGTTGGTTACACCGGGGAGCATTTGCGTTGAGCAACAGAGCAGAGCATCAAAGAACTTTGTGGTACCACAAATTGTGATCTTCCGTGTTGTCACTAGTTAGAAAGGATACTATTTTACTACTTAATGATAGTAGTAAATCATTTTAATGCTCCTTCGCTGGCATTGTCAGAAATATATTGTATTGACGTATTTTTCTCCGATGAATACCTTAAAGCATACTGACCACCCTCACAAAACAGATACCGTTAAGTTTCTTTATTTCTTTTTCTGAGACGTACAAATAAAGATAGCCAGTTATTTTCTTTTAACACAATTGGCCCCCTGGAGTAAGTAACCCCTGCCATAAACCATATCCTTGCCCGTGAAACGTTCAGTGAAGATAGATATATGGAGTGAGAGAGAGAAAGTAAATCTCTTTTCCTTTGAGTTGAGACTGGCCCATACGACCAAAGGAAAGAAATTTCAAACGTGAGCACGCGCTTCATTCTGAAAGGTCATAAGGTACGCGGATTTATGTCATACAACATCCTACAGAACAAAACCGTCGTTTACACGAATAAGGGTTGCTGCAATCTACAGGTCCACTGTTTTATCAATACAGGCTGTAGGAAATAGGGGATCTCGCTTGGCTGGGGTTAATTTCACCTCCCTACTACTATGGATTTAAAAGAAAATGTGGCGATCCAACGTTGATTTCGATAACTACTTGTCAAGCCAGTACAATAATATGGGACGGGGTACAGTGAATTAAAAAAATCGATAAAAGATAGTTTTTCAAAAATACAGGCTGGGCAAGAGTGGAAGGGCGCGGAAAGTTGTATGTAGTTAGGCAACCTATGATCACCGTAAGCGCGGAGCCTGAAAGAGGTTCTCCTGGACGCATAGGGTCGGTTTTCGCACCCCGATGGCGGCCGCTTCTGCTGTTGCTAATAGGCGCTGGCCCAGTAGTTTAGGGTAGCTGGAGGGGACCTTGTAAATCACAAGAGACGCTTCAGCGGGGTCCACACGATACCCTGAATCCACTGCGTGCGCAAGGATGGCGCTGCCAATTCTCCTAGTTTCCCCTTTTTCCAGCCCATGCGGGAAGGTGTTTTCGTATTCTTTTGGAAAGGCGCCGACTCGTACGACCACTATAACCTGTTCCACAGTAGCAAGTGAATGAGTAGATGCACATTGAGGCGGTCTGAGGTGGCAGCCTATCCTTGCCTTCTTCGCGTAAAGTAGGGTTAGTAAAGAATGATATACCAACCCTTGCTGTTGCCAAGGTTCCCGAGACAGCTTGATAAGGGCGTCTCCTTAGGAGTTCACTTGCAGAGTCTCCTTGGGCAGGGACTTTGCAGAACAACGTTTTCTTTTCGGCGGTCAGTGGGGTGGGTTTTGCGGGTCGTTCGGCAAGGTTCTTTGCAATGAACCTGTTAGGATACCCGTTTTCGCGAAGCAAATCCCCGCTACTATCCGTTGAACAAATTTTTCTAGCCCTTTGTGCCAAACACCTGACCAGATTCCGTTTTTGTTGGAGAGGTACGAAACTAGCGATGTACGTGTATTGTCCAGACCAGGTTTTTTTCCGGTAGACGCTTATTCGGACACTACCATCAGAAGATACATCATTTTATTTCACCTTGTCTGCACACGGGCCCAGGCCGTTCAGAGGACAGTTACCAGAAAACATTTGGCTGCCTGCCCTGCCTACAACTACGTTTCATAGACAATCAGTCCAAGAGAAACTCACTGTTCACCGCGAATATGGCTATCCTTTTAAACGTTAGGCGGTGCAGTTCATTGTGAAAAGTGTAAACTGAACATGGTTTGTCAGGCAAGATACTGCTTTACAGCGGAGGCGTCGTACTTGATTTGCGATGTCATGTTACGTTAGGACAAGGTTATATCATATTAACCGCACAGGTACTAGCCAAAAGCCCATACACGCGTGTTTCGTCTATATTCTGCTGTTTCATGACGCAGTTGCGAAGGGTTTGGCTCGTCAGTGTGTCCCCAGCATTCCCCGTGCGTGTTCTGGTAGATACTGTAATTTCAAAATTGTCGTTTTCTAATTTCCTCAGAAATTAAAAAGCGACAATTTCTAAATTGGAGTATCTACCAGAAAACGGCGAAACACGCGCATAAGGGCTTTTGACTAGTACCTGTGCTGTTTGCACGGTATCACATTACCCTCACGTATACTACTAGCTGTCTGTCGACAGTTAATGAATGTTACGCGCTTACTCGCTGTAGCTGATGGACTTTGACCATACACAAAATTCTCGGTCTGAGCCTATAGACCTTGAATAAACTGATCTACTCCAGCATCGTAGATAAGTTTTGAGGAAATTAGAGAGCGACGATGTCATGTTAGTGTCCTGTCTAAAATGACAGTTTCTTTTTCGTTTGGCCTGATCTTTTACGCCAAAGTTTAGTGCTCACTGAGTAGTAGATTCGAAGTCAAAAGGTACTTTGATACTGGGTTAGCTTAACTGACTGCATTAAACGGTCAAGATAGCAGCCGGTGTTCTACTTGTGACAACTCATATATACAACACATTCTGGTGTCTCTCGCAATTTTCATTGTCGAGCACGATATATAGGATTTTCTTGATTACCTCTTCGTCGAAAGCCTGTCTCCCTCAATCGCTATTTCCAGACAGAGGAAGGTGTCGATCCAAGGGTCAAAAATATGCAGCATTTTGGATGTATTGGAAGACGTTTTTGGTCAAAAACGAACAACTTACTGGTCCGTGGCAAAATCAGTAACAACATTTTGCTTGGTTAGCTTAAATGAATGCATTAAACGGTCAAGATAGCAGCCAGAGCTCTACCTGTGACAACTCATATGTACGACACTTGTGACTTTCATTGTCGAGCATGAGAAAGACGATTTTCTTTACCAGCTCCTCGTCGAAAGCCTGTATCTCTCCCTCGCTATTTCCAGACGGGGGGAGAGTGTTAATCTAGGGGTCAAATGCATGCAGTATTTTCGATGTATTGAAAGATGTTTTTGGTTAAAAACGAACAATTTGCCGGTCCGTGACAATACCAGTAGCATAATTTTGCAGGAACAGACACCATAGATTCCTGTTTGATTAACCAGTCCTAATTCCAATACAAAGGTGTAGTTCGACCATCGATTTCGATGATGTCCACCGTGCGCCCCACAGACTGCATTGTGGAGCAGGGACGGTGACTAACGCAGGGGTTTATAGTGCCAGTAGACTTGCCTAGCATCTACCTACAATCTCTCCTCCTACCCCGCCTGAGCCCGGTGTCAAGACCAAGTCAAGGAGACCGGAGACGGGGTAGGCCGCAGGTGGATGGCTCGGACGGATCCTCGCCTTGGCGCTCCACTCCACACCCCCTGGTCCACACACAAATGACCAGGATTTTGACCACAAAACAATGGGGTGGTGGCAGTGGTCCGGTTGTGCGACGAATGCCGACAACAGGGTCCGCCAGCGCACCCCGCAAATGTTGGCATTTGTTATTGCGCACAGATAACGCCTGCCAGAGTCCGATGTGGCCCCCGAGTTGGTCCAGCGCATCTAACACGTGGCCCGTTTGGAGGGCACACAAAGTTGTAGTAACCTGTTATAGGCAGTAGTACTCTGCATATAGCAATTGTCACTGGCTACAGCGAACTATTTAACGGGTTTCAGGTGATTTGTTATTTGGTTGATCTGAGAATACAGGTGTTAACATCTACATCTTGAAGAACCAATTATATAACTTTCGAAAGTTTTACATCTTCCGTAAACCTTTAACTCTGGCATATTGCTATTTATAGAACCAAAATGTTAACTGTGATGCTATTATTCAAAGGCCTAGCGATTATGTAAGGTTAAAATATTATTTACGGGGATTACAAAGTACGTAATTATGATTCATTGCTTTCTGGTCTTTGGGTGAGAATCACTCCAAGTATGATCTGACTTCCTTTTTGAGAATTCCTAAATATGCGGTTTCCTTCTTCGTCTGCCTTGAACAAGGTGAATTCTTTCGACTGGGAATATGCACAGAATGCTTTCTCGCTGCGTCAATATTTCGACGGCAGTAATGTCTGAAAACATATTTTTTTAAAATACTTTGGAGAATGTCTAGGTTTTCAGGTGTATGTCATTTAAGTCAGAATGTGCCTTCTTAGAGACATTCGAGGAAATCGGAATCTCTAACATAGATTTTACCATTATGGTAGTAGGACGGTCTCAAGAATCTTCAAACCCTCAGGAAGTTCATTCTAGCTTTATGAATTGCGGAAATTTATATCATCGAAATGTTATTTTTTTCGTGCTTTGTTTTAGGTTGTTGCTGATTTCCATTTCTTATCATTGAAAAGACTCACTTGCCCTCTAAAACAACAGAAAATTGTTGATTTACGTCCAGAATCGTAAAAATATGCGCTACGTCGATAATAATGATAATCTATAAACGGTGCGGAGAGAGCGGCTACCCAAAACCCGTAGGCCGTAGTTGAAACACTGAATATAGCTTATGTTTGATGAAGTTCACGAATGGTTGTCCCTACATGCCTAATGCCACTTAAATAATATTTTTAGTTTTAAGTTCCATATTTAAATTTCAGGCAACCTTTAGTCATCAGAATCCCATATTTATAAGATAAGGTAAACTGTGCAATCAGTGATAAGCCTAGAGGGATGAAACATGACAGGTAAATAAAACACAGGCCGTTGGTCTGATATACGGGTGTGCATGCCGAGGGGGAGAGAAGGAGGGAAGTTATCTAAGCGAGCGAATTTACATTAGGTTAAAACCTGTCAGGCACAAATGAACTTCAACACGCCCTTATTTTCCACCCCTAACGGCCACTTCGGCATGTGTTCAGCTGACCGAACTGCTTGTCTTTGCGTGCGCACAATTTGCACCCGCAGATACATGCAAACTTATGTAAACTGTGTAAGCAGCTGGATCACGTGATCAACCCCGCACTGCCATGGTAAGGATCGACAATGACATAACTCCATTACCACACCCATTCTCTCATTCCCTCGGCCCCTCGTCCCCCCCCCCCTCCGCAGGACTGACTGCCGTCCCGCGTGTTGAATTTTATTCACGCCTGAGAACTTTTCACTGTAATGTAAGCCCGCTTGCTTAGATAACTTCCCTCACCCTTTCCCCTTCGCCATGCGCACTTGCATATCAGCCTGTCTCGTTGCCTTTGTCTTGTTCTAAATTCTTCCGGGAAAACAATGCTTCGACTTAATCGCATAATCGGTGGTATATTTCTCCTCCTAGGCAATGTAAGAGACATTTTAACTCTTTAGCAACAAATAGCCGTACCACAAACTGGGTTACTCTGTCAGTCAAAGTAACAAAATGAAACCGTCTGCACTCCCCTAGTAGACGTGTTACTGCAAAAGATAGGATTTTGTGCCAAGATGATTCCTTTTCACCTTGTGAGGGTACAGATAGGAGTTGAGCTAGCATCTCCAATGAGAATAGTTGACAGATCGATACGATTTTGTTTCGCTTCTTCTGATGCTGCTGCCCGGTTTTAGGCTGTCAGGGTCTGGGAGAAGCCTGCAGTCGAACTATCTTTCAGCGCTGCTGTGGCAACACGGTGTGCGACCTAAAATGGTTTGGACATGGAAGCTGCGTCAAGTGTTATGAACCTCGACGACTATGCCTGTGGGATGACGAATGCTGTAGCAAAAACTGCAAATGGTTCTTCTGCCAATAAATTGAGCCGTCAGTTCGCATTTCTCCCTTCTCGTTCTTATTGACCGCCGTATTTTCCCGTTTCAAAAGTGCGATGAAGACTGACATTAGCCAATCATTTAGTTATATATGTGTGTAATCGTGGATCATTCTATTTCAGTACGATGATCGTTCTTATTTAAAACTAGCTGGACCCCGCCACGCGTTGCTGTGGCTCAGGTGAATCCAAAATCGCTGTTGGATCAGCGGGCACCGTTGCATTCCCAATTGCCAGCAATTACTGTGAGAATACCACAGCTGATCGTTGGTTTTGCAGCTGGACACGCATATTTGTAGTTAACTTTTCCACAAAAAAGTATTTCAGGCAGGCATTTATTTCGTCTGCTGGTTTCGATGGAGGAAGTACAGGCAGTATTTGCCTGAAGTCTCCTGCAAGCAGTAGCAGTAATCTCTCCAAATGGCCTGCTTTTTCCGCGCAAATCTTGCAGTGTTCGGTCGAGTGCCTCGAGCGCTTTTTTGCTCACGGCGCAAATCCACATCTAACGAAACAACAGAAAACCGATTTGATGAGGACATTCCCAGTTGATTAGGGATTTTTTCCGTGATTTCTTACGTACATATCCCCAATCACTATTAACGCCTCGCTGTAGATTCCTGCTGTGAAGTCCGCATCTGGAATTTTTTTGCGTAGTTGACGGAAGATATCCTCAGCCATGTGCGATTTATATTTCTCCCATAGATCTGTTGGAGATGAAGTAGAGCAGGCGGCCAGTATGATTGCAAATAATGCACGAATTCGATGTGGATGGGACGTGCTGCACACAACAGTAATACAAACATCCCAGTGTCGGTCATTTCCCAATAAATTGCGGGCCTGGCAAGCACTGTGAAATGTGGCGTGCGTAAAGCCGTTGACAGATTTCAATTGTTGGAAAGACGTTGAAGCGGACACATTCACCAACACCGTGCGGAGTAAGAACCCTTCGTCCTGATTGGGATGCACGCGTGCAGTCTGCCTATCGCAGTTCTTCTGAATATGCTGTGGTGTCCATCCACTCGGTTTCCTCGTTTGCGTCGAACAAAAGATTTTCTGCACGCATTCCGTATAATACGTAGGCACTTCCGAATACAGCAGTGTTTTCGCAAACGCGTCAGTTTGGCTTAACGGGAAGAACGCAGTTAATGTGCGCTGCCGGTGGCCTGTTGCACATTTGCATCGGTAAAGTAAACATATTGCTCATTCACTAAGTGTACTGCAAGTGAACAACACCTATACTTCGCTCATGGATGGGAAAAGAAAGAATCCGCTCGTCGATAGCCCGGGAGGTAAGAACAGATAAATAGCCCCCCAAGCTGGATTGCAGGTGAATGTAATGAGTAGGTCTGGACGCCCGTACTGACAAACGTAAGCAATTGCACCTCGAGCGTACCCGAGCATATGGCGTGGACTCTCTGTGTATGTGGACGACAAAAACTAGTTTTACAACGTTAGTTGTAATACCGTCGTTTACAACTGCATCATGCAAAGGAATATATTCTTCAGAGCGCAGCTTGATCTGATTTAAGCGAATGAAAGCAGGCGTTCAGTTTCGATTTTTGCATACATATCTACAATGCAGTGATAAGGCACTTGACGGCATTTCAAAAGGGGATTACTTACATTCTGTCGCATCATAAGTCGGTTGGAGTAGGGGTTCATTGCGCTGCATTTCATGTACGTTACCTCGCCACTGACTGGATTTATCATCTTAACGTTGTAGTGATATCCATCGGTACCATCCCGATACTGCGTTGGAATCGGTCTCCGACTGTCGGTATATATGGTATCACCTTACCCTAAAATCAGTAGTCTTCCAACAGTTGTTGGCGTACTGTCTTTCACAACAACATCATGTAGCGTGAATGCTGAGCACGGAGTCGTGTTGGACGCTGGTCCGCTGTTCTTCGCTGGCGCCATTCGGCCACTCCCAGCTGGCTGCGTTCATCCTGTTGCTGAACGAAGCATGCCTGAAGCTGCAGAACGCGGTAGCCGTGACCGCAACCGGGCTACCGCAAGCCGAGCTGCACAATACCGAGCTGACACTGGGCGACAGCCCCATTATGTGTGTTGAGCCGGGGAGGGGAGGGTCTGGTGTTAATTGCATCCAGTCCTCACCCCCCGAGAATCCCCGAGGCGGCGGTGACGGCCCTATTATATGGACTGTGGGACAATTTTAAGTGGCGTCCAAGTTTTGCGTGTTTTTTTTTTGCTGCAGGGTGGGTGGTTTGCTCTGGCGGCCCATATTGCATCAGTCCAGAGAGGGTGGAGGGCCTGCTCAAGTGCCTGCAGGGTGGGTGGTGGGGTGGGCGCGGCCGTTGGGCGGAGGACGTGCGTTTGAGCGAATGTCGGTCAAGTGGCCGCTGTCTGGGCGCACATGTGTCCGCGCGGATGTAGGTCAAGTGGCCGCAGCAGGTGACGTTGTTATGGCGGAAAAATTCCAGTCTTTTACCCATCACAGGCATACCATCGGCATAATTACACAATTGAACAGACAAAAACCCGGCCCTATGCGCGGGTCGGGTTGTGTCCAAATTTCAACGCAATCGGTGCAGTACTTTCGGAGATAACATATAAAAGAGAAAAAAAAAACCTTCCATTTTTATATATATAGATGGCAGGGGGCACGCACCGACCCCGTCATGTGTGGGTATTCTATCTCGAGTCCCACCAGTAGCCGCACAACGGAGCGTGATGAAGGCAGAATAGCACTAGCGGATTGTTAGGCGTCAACAGCCGGCCACACCCTACTCTGAGGTGTACAGTACCCGAGGCTCGAACTCACGACGTGTTGTTTAGCAGTCCAACACCCCAACCAATGAGTCGGGGGTTCGTTGTCCTGTCAGTTGCGATCGGGTACATTAACAATGGTGGTGGGTTGCGGACCGACCACGTTACGGAACCCACTCGTCCACTTATGCCTTGGGGCTCACTCTCGAGCCAGGTAAACAGCCGTTTTTACTCAAATCCTGACCCTTGACGTAATATGAGTCTTTGAATAGCATGCTGTTGTGGGTTAGATGTAGATGACAGGAGACGATAGAGTACGGGAATAAGGACTTCCCGTGTTACAGATTGGCTTGCACTAATTTTCAAGGGGTGTTAGGATTAGGGTTAGGGTGGGGATGGAGTCTGGATGAAATTTGGAACACAGGAGTAGGTACTCCCCGAGAAATGGGCGCAAGGCCGCTTGCAATGTGGGAGGATCCTAATCGCGTGGCCTCCCCGATAATCAATAGGAAGTCTAAGGTGATTTTATTGATTATCTAGAGCTGGTAGACAAAATTTAGGCCCTGTTCCCAGCGTCCAGAAGCCGACACGCAGCTAACTGGTGCGGCTAGTTGATTTGGGGTGATTACTGATCGCCAATGCGGCTAGATCGCAGTTTGTAGCCCCGACCTGCATTACGGGTGGCTGGGGGGTTTGTTTACTGGGGTTATTTTGTAGGCCTCCATAGTCACATCGGACACATTTGGCTTCCGGTTTACGTTTGAGGTTAGGATAAGGGTACCGGTTAATGGTTTCCGATTTTCCGGTTAGGGTTATGCCTTTAAGCTTCGATTTTCGGGTTATGGTTAGGGTTTGGGCGCACAAATAGGTTCCAGTATTTTGGTTAGGTTTTCTAATTACGGCTATGTCTAAGGGCTACGGTTAACTTTACGATTTCGGCTAGGGTTAGGGTTGCCGTTAGGGTTAACGGTAGCGGTTGAGGTGAGGGCTAGGGTTAAGGTTGGTATTAGGGTTAAGGTCGCCGTCCGCTTCCCATCCCGGGCTATCAACTGCGATCTAGCCGCCAATGCGTTTTAAGCCTTCTCCGTGAGGCATTACTCCATCCGCCGTGGGAGTTCAGGTTTGCGTCACGGGACTAAAAATTAAAGTCCCAGGCAGTTCGCCAGCTTAGTTTCCAATAATACAGTTGCGTCCACGTTCACGCACCAGTGGCGTATGCCCGTGAATATGCTGGGAAATGGAAGGGCCCCATGTAAAATCCATGGCATCCATAAGCACATGCCATAACATGCTATAACATGTAGCAAGACACAATAGCTTTCCGCTCAGGACGTTTGCTTTTAGCTAGAATGCTACTACTTGGGAATAGGGAACTACCTCAACAGCATATGTTTTGTCTATATTTTGCGATTGCAGTACAAGGCAGATCAGATCTGAGAGGGCTTTCTTGTGAGAAGATTAGACAATGTCTAGGCAAAAATAAAGTAAAAGTAGAATTAGGAAAAACGCATTAACACGGCTGCTAGTTTCGCGGGAGAAGGAATTAGAGGTCGACTTTCGTGTGCCAAAAGAGAATACTATGACAAATGTGGAGGAAGATATGAAACTCAATCCTCCAGCTTAACCATCAAAATTTACATGGGGGTAAAAGGGTATATTTCAACAAACCTAGGCATTTCATACTCATGTAAAAGTACCGCTTACATAAAAAATGTAGCCAAATTAGACGAGCGTTCAGGTCAGACAGCAAAGATAGTGTATAACCACAAGAAACCTGCCAATTCATGTCTGTCCAGCTTTATACCAAGAATGATTCTGCTTTTTCTGAAGATAGCTAATTATGTGCTAGAACAGAATACTTTTCAACGTCAATTACACGAAATAGTGCTTGTAACCATATCAAAGTCAACGAGATACCACATTCACTTAGTGTAAGCTTTTTAGTCCTCTGTAAGTAATGAATTTTGCTTCACTCACTCGCGCATGACTTTGGTCTTTTACTCCTTGCGGTCTGAAATAACCGCGCTCTAGCTAAGAGTTATCGTAGGCAGAATTTGAGTTTGTTACTTTGGTGGTA